TGGGTTGAACCTGTCTGTCATTATCCTGGAGGAGATTGGTTCCCACTGCATGAGAGCTTTAGCCGCTATTGGTGACATCATGATGGCTACTCCCTCGGTGTGCTCGTGGCTGTCCTCTGGGTGACCAGAGTAGATTATTGTCTCTCCAGTTGGTTGTTGGCACCTTCCACATCCGTTCCATCTACTCTCGCAGATTCCCAACACTTCTATTGCATACCTTCTCATTTCTCCGGCTACCTGGGCTGCCTTTCCAGCTTCGTATATTGTACGAACATTCCACGTCCCCATCCTTATTTTTGCTTTCATCGAAAGGAGGTACATGGTCTGACTGGCTTCCCGAAGGCTTTCACCAGCCTGCGTCATTTCACTTCCCCGATTCCAGCGGAAAATAAGGTTATTGTTTGTATTTTTAGAATTTTGAATATATTTGTGCGTTGAAGTTTTAGGGGGTGGAGTTGCTAGCACCAGGCCCCAACCCTCCCTCTTTATCCGGGCTTGGGACCGGCTAGAATACTAGCGAGCTAGTAATCTAGGCGAGGTTTATCATATATATATATATATATGATTTATTCATTGTTTAGCTATAGAATTAGCAACTGATTTTGCATTACCCTTCAAGTTCCTGTTGTCTAACAATGTAGTAAATATCTGATAACGTTGAGTTATTTTAACACGGCTAAGAAATGAGAAGGGAGCACTATGCTCCCACTCTCCTAGTGTAGTCTGACTGAGGCTGAGATGAAAAGACCTTGTTACATCATACTTTGAACAGACAGCTGTGCATAAAATTAGACGAAGTTCTGGTGCTTAAAGTAAAAGCAAGGTATCTTTCAGCTCAGTTTGTAAAGAACTGAGACAGTGACCTGCAGGCCACGAGCTCAACATTTTCCATGACACCTAGGTTTACTTTCTAGCTTCAATCATTATCTTATAATATCAACTAGGCTTATGTCAGGATCGTAGATATTCCCTTGTTCAAAGCTCAATAATCAAATAGTGTATAAAGGCACACATACTTTATTTATTTTGGAGAGGTATTATTCATCCCACTTAGTGAATATTTGCAGTATTTGTTTATTTTTCTGCTACTCATGAATAATCCCCATCCAGGCATTAATGAGAAAACAAAACAAGCAGTTCAATGAAGAAGTTCATGGTGAATTCATTTTCTTTAGCTGTACAATCGCATTTATATACAATTGTTTTGTAAAAGAGGTTGGTAACAAAGGAGGTGAATTCTCATAATCATAATTATATTAATCAATACATAAGGGGGAGGCTGAATAAGAATGATAGGATGATGAAGTAATGAAAGAAATAATTCAATAAATGAGTTGTAATCAGGATGCACATAGAAACGAGGGGAATTGTAATATTACATAAGAGTTGGAAAGAATAGAGGAGTTACAACATTTGGTTGTTGTCATGATAATAGAAGTGCTTGTTGAGTAGAGAGTACAACCTGCCAAAGATAATATTCTTTCTTCTTCCCTGCATTACTGAAACTCTAGTTATTCAGATAGAGAAACAAGAACTCTGCATACAGAAAAATATTATCCAACCACTTCTACCATCATGGTAGCAACCTTTGTGATTTCTGTTGACTTGATTTTTGTTTGTTTGTTTGTTTTTCTAACCCCTCATAACTTGTATTTCCTTCGAAGTTTTACATAATACCACATTTTCCTTCGTTTCCATGTGCATCTTGATTACAACTCATTCATTAAATTACTTGTCTTATCCTGTAACTTTAACACTTTTATTCAACTCCTCTTTTATCAACAACTATGATTATGACAACTCATCACTTTTGTTACTATTCTCTTTTGTGAGAAAGAATTGTGTGGAAATGCGATTGAACAGCTAGATAAAATGATTTCACTGGAAAGAACCTCTTTCCTGAACTACTACTTATTTTTTTCTTCTGTCCCTCTAGAGACGATATACTTTCACGAGATTAAGGTTAATTATAAGTTCGGATATCATTTCCTCTCTATATGTGACATTCAGGTCAGTCACTGCAGCTTTGATTAATGACTATATCTCTGTGACTTCCCTTCCTTTCAGTAGTATCGCTTCTATTATTATAAATAATGGACAGCACAATTTCAAACTCTAAGTTTTAAATATACTTCTCTCAATACAGAGGATATATGCGAATCAAGTTCAATTGATTAGTGAATACGAATATCACTTAAAAGTGTACTTTAAGAATATTGCCTTATTATTTATTATAATCGTCTTAGTTTCTTATACGAATTCGGTGTACTAAAGGAGGAGATTAGTGTTATTTTAATATTCAAAAGCAGTTGTAACTCAATATGATTAGCTTTGGAGTTGTGTTTTTTTTTTAGTATCAATTTCATTGTATGCATCAGTATTGGTGGTGATTTCTAATCACATGACTATTAGGTTATATTATGCATGTATTCTTCATACTGAACTTAGCTCATGTCCTTTTAGCTCAACTGAATAGTCATCAAAACAATAAACTTGAGGTCAAGATGACTTTACTATGCTATGATCTACTCACAATATAGCAACAATATAGAAGGCAATCGAGAATAAAAGGTTAACTAGGGTAGGAGGGTAGTTGATAACGTACTCGTGAAGTGTCATCAATTTTCGTGTCCGCTTTAGCTAGCGTTTTAATCGAGTTTATTCAGTTGTTTTGTTGATAAAGGTTGAAATCGCATCTTTTACTGTATGTTATTCATAATATTTGTTCTCATGTTTTGGGGTGGGTAACATTGAGGTTAGGCGTAAAGTCTTAAGTGAGGAGGGAAAGTCAATCGATGCAACTTCAAAATCCCATCGATTGACTTTCCCTCCTCACTTAAGACTTTACGCCTAACCGCAATGTTACCCACCCCAAAAAATGAGAACAAATATTATGACTAGTACACGTTTCGCGCATGCCATGTCATCACCTTCCGCATCCAACAATGTTAGTTTACAGAGGGTTAGGTCGAAAAAAAAAGTTAAGGGTATTCAGACCAAAAATGGCAGCAGTCCATGAAGTTTTCAGCTTTTGATTTGAACTACATAGTAAGATGGAAACTACCTGGTTATTGTCCTGAAGGCTGTAAGAACTAATGGCTAGACACCATTGGTGACAGCATAGATGCACTCACCTTACGAATTCCCATATCCATCAAATTCTCACTATTCTCCATGTGCTTACTCTTCTTTGCTGTACATTTCCGTTCATTATAGTTCATTTGTGTCTTTTTCCCAACCAGTCTTGTGTGCATTATGAAGTGTGACAACTTGGAATGATGTAAGTTGTTTGCAAAATTGTATGGTGAAGATTCAGCCAGTCGGTTAGTCTCCTTTTTTGGTAAGTAGTCCGGATTTCGCTGTCTAGAATGACTAAGATCACTAAAACTGTTTGCAGGATTTCATCAGTTAGAGAACCATTGGAACACCTAGGAGTACTGGACAGCTGTTTCGTCCTAGTTTGGGACTCTTCATCAGTACGCACCCACCGGAGTTCGAACCCAGGATCTTCTGGTTACAAGGCGAGCTCGTATACCATTAAGCCACTGGGACCCGATCCAATGGCCATTCCATGAATTCCAGCTTCTGTCAACTCACGACATAGCGCGACCTCTAGCCACTATCAACGGCAAGTATTTGTCCTCATACCCGACCTGCTGTATCCTACTGGTCACGACTTCCCACCTACCCGAATAGGACCAGTTACTAGTGAGCATCTCATTGATATTCAAGAATTGGTTCGTAGGGATTTGATCGAGTGTTTGCAGGATTTCATCATGGGCTGAAGAGTCCCATACTAGGATGAAAAAGCTGTAGAGTACTCTCGAATTTTCCACTGGTTCTCTAACCGATGTCCGCTCCTGATGAAATCTTGCAAACAACCAATCAAATCCCTATAAACTAATACTTTTAAAACAGTTATCTGTCGGTGTTCAGTTAAACTCTAGGAAATATTAAGACATACAAAATTAGTGAAATGTTGGAGTCTTTAGAACTCTGTGTAAAGTTATGTCTATTTTATTTGAAACTTATTTGTGTGGTGGTCTTAAATGTAAACATATTTAGTCACACACACACACCCGCCGCACCTATATTTGAACTTAACACCGGATATTTTGAAGTTTAGAATCGTATTTTGTGCGTTAACAAGGGAAATGCCGTGGCATGTTTCCGAACTGTTTTACAGTGGGAGGCAAATATTTTAACTCATCACTTTATGCTGGTGTGTTGGCAGTGGACAAAGGCTGGACACGCATTTAGTGCTCTATAAATAAATACACCCCTCTTTTACTCTGTCTATGTATCCAAATGTAGTGTAAAATGTTGTATTCCATTATACTTGATTATAGTGAAACACTGTTACCTAGGGTTAAGGAATTTGTCAAAGCATCAGTTGCGTTTTTCTTATTATGCTGAAATCGCCTAAATACCAATTCAAAGCGATCTGTTGCATAAACCTAAGGTTGTCTAGGCATAGTTGTGTTGACAACTGGCCAGCTAATTGTTATATTATTCTAGTTATATGAGGTCCTTGTTGTGTGTATGCACACTAGACAGTCGGGAGATAATAATCACCCACAATCTTTCATTAAAATATTAGTTACTTCTTTGCTTGTTTCTTTTTTCCACTTAAGCTCATCTATTTTATATTCAAGCGTAATAGATTCATCATTTATTACTTCAAAATTACTCATGGGCATAATTAAACCTTTTTCCCTTCCCTTCATTGTTGGAGGGGTAGGGGGAGTACAGATACTTGATTGATAATTATTTAGTTGATCTAAGTTGGTTAACATAAACTTCGATATGGCTAGTGTATGTGGATACGTATACTGTATACTGAGAAGCATCTTTAACACCCTCCTTTTTTTTGATTTTTATTTCCCGCTTTCTAAAATCAAAACAATATCAACATTGTAAGCTGATGAATTTTATTACTATTTGATAGTACTGGTAATATATTACAGCGTTATTTCTCCTTTTCTATCTTACTTTTAAAGGTTGAAGACAAAATGCAATTGTTGAATAGCAGTTGGAGTGAAATTATCCTATTGGAATTCATTCATTTCTATTTAACACATTTAAATAATATAAAAAGGATAGACTCGGTAAGTATTATGTCGTTGGATATTTTTGTTATGTTGTATTGCGTTTAGTGTGTGTGTGTGTGCTTACGTTCATGTCGGTGGTTCAATGTTGCACTGCTCACCAGTCGTCACACGGATCCGATTCACGGTTGACGTACTCCTAAAACTTGCCTAGTTTACTGGGTGCCAGTAATTTTGAGAATGAAAGAAGTGTTAGACATGAAGCTAATAAGCCTGTCTCGACAAAATAACACCATCGCTGCTGAAAACCTCAAAACTTGAAGCTTGGGACCCTATACTCCACTCAAAACTCAAACAACTAGAGAAAAACTTTACCTTGTGGTATGTTGTTTTGGTTCACGGCCTGTTTGAAACCTGGGCTACTAAAATACGTCATCATTATATTGCACATGATGTCTCTTGTTCAGTTTATTTAATCTATTAAAAATATGACTACTAAAGATGTTTTCTACTCTCACGATTATCTAAAATGTCTACAACCTACTGATTCACAAGTTTCTACTAAACTTGAGAAAAAGTAAAATCGTAAATGACAATGTATTTCAACGTATACATGAGATATCTGTCTCCAAAATTTTTTTAGTACAAACTGCCACTACCTGAGAAATAAAACGAATTATCTGAAGTCTTCATTTGTTCAGCTATTATTATGTCCTTGGGTAAGAAATATGCACTCCTATACCTTTCTTAATTGCCTTTCAACCAAATATTGTACATTTCTCGAGGGAGGCAAAGAATGAATATTATAAGGGGTCGGTTTTCGCTTAAGTTTAGACAGCAGTGTGTCGCGCAATTTGTTTTCACTTACTTCTGTACTTGAAGATCGTAGACGAAGAGAAACGACCATGCAACAATTTCTTCCGAAAATTCTGTGCATTATTTAGACACTGTTCAGAATTATTATTTTTTGAAAGATTTAGTATGAGTAGTTTCCATAAACATTTTAAAATCACGTTCATGCACATTCAGAATTCCTTTGCTTTTGTATCACTACTTAATAAAGAAAGTGAAAACGGATCCATACAAAGAGTGTCCATCTGTGAGAAATTCGATCGATCCAATTGGGTAAAATTAGAAGCTGGAAACACGAACACCGCTATCAATGAAAGAGATTTAATTGTAACTCGCCATCTGTGTGTATATTATTCAATAAACTGCTTGCTTATCTTCTGAAGTGATATGATGAGTCTATTTATCATTGGATGAATAATATCCATGCGATATATACATAAATTTTGAAAGACATAGGTCAGCAAGGAATATTCTTTTTCGTAACTTCTCATCAAAGCTGTACAGTTAACTAGTGTTTTAAAAGGTCACGAAAAATGCCAGTAAAGGTCATTTAATAATATCATTTGGTAACGAAACATATGAAATTACACATCAAGAAGAAAAAGATGGAGAAATCATGAAACTCGGTCTAGCAGCATTACGTCACCTAAGCGGTGGATATCTTTCAGATATGTGATTATCACTAAAATTGTGAGCGCTTGGAAACAACAATGTTGTCGACAAGACTAATAGATTCGGTATTTCTATAAGGTATATTAAGAGTTTGAAAAGAAAGAAGAATATAAAACGAATGAAGATGGATTGCATATCCGACTATTGGAGAGGTTAGAAAAATAGAGAAACAAAATGGTTTAAGGTCATGATATAAAAATAGAACTTGTGCACTGTGGTAGAGCATAACTCCATCATTTCGAAGTGATCATGATTATGAGCAGTAAATTGTACTCGAAACATCATCAGTAAATATTACTGTATAACACTGTGAGACTTAATCAAAATAAATTTTACCCACAATGGAGTTAACTCTACAGCCGTGACGAGCAGGTGTGAAAGGAAGATTATTTGCTGACGTTTATGTATTTTTTAATTGTCATTGGATTTTTACGAAAATGACCCTTTAACACAATACTTTAGAAATCACTTGTTCTGGAAAGCTGTTTCATCCTGGTTTGAGACTCTCCATCAGTACGCACTCACTGGGGTTTGAACCCAGGGTCTCCCGGTTACAAGACGAGCTCATAGACCATTCAGTTACTGGGATCCGATCCAATCGCCCATAAATTCCAAAGTCTGTCAGTGCACGATAAATACAGCGAAACCGCCAGCAAATGTCATAGGCGAGTAACTGATCTCTTATCTGACTTGGTGAACCCCGCTGGTTACTACTTCTCACTAGAACTCCAGGTAAATTTCTGTATAGAGCCAGCCATTAGCCAATATCAGCTTAGTTATCAAGTGTTGGTCTACAAGGTTATGTAAGAGATTGGATCGGGTTCCAGTGGCTCAATGATCTACGAGCTGGCCTTGTAACCAGAAGGTCCTGTGTTCGAACCCCGGTGGGCGCGTATTGATTAACAGTCCCAAACAAGGATGAAATAGTTGTCCAGTACTCCCATGTTTTCCAAAGGTTCTTTAACTGATGTCAACTCGTGATCCAACCTGTAACCAGTCAAATCCCTGCAAACGAACACTTGAAAATTCATTCTGATTTGACAGTTTATGTATTCTGCTATTTCCATTTTCTGAAACGAAATTCGCGTTGTTCTAATGCTTCAAGTATTATTGCTAGGAAGATCAACGTAGAAAGCTACACATGAATTCAATGGCTCAACTTCTCTACTGATAACTGTTATCTTGACGTGATCAACAGGCTTGAAAATCACCATAATCCGTTGAGTTATATATGTTGAACATATCATACCGGAAAGGTTGAATGGATAGTTGTATGAACAACTATCATTATATCTTGGACAGCTAACAATGTGATAAGGGATCCAACGATGAATTTGTATTATTAGCGGATGGTGTCTTATTTCATTTAGATAAACATCAGACTATCTTCCCACTGGGGAAAAAAGGTGGAAAAGCATACCTAAACCTTGTGAACACTGACTTATAGGTCTCATGCGTATGTTCTGCAAGCCCCCATAAAACGAGTACTCTTTCGCTTTTGTTCAACCTAGTTAGTATGCAAACAGATGGCAAACACCTGATTGCTGTACTTTGTATTCGTATATTTGTTTACGGGTCGAATTCTAAATGTGCGTTTTGTCCTATTCAAGACGACTTGGTAGAGGATTTAGTAAGACTGAAACCCTTCAGCACATTATTTGTGTGGTGACTGGATGCTAAGAATCACACTTTGTGCTGCCACTATCTTATTTTGTTTTTCTGTTACCCTTGCTATACGTTTTTGAATTCACCGAACTAAATTGATGCGTTTGATTGGACACCAAGTAGTAACTAATGTGGCGTGTCTAGTCCTTTGTTTTGGTGTCAACTGAATTCTGTCAGTCAAGTTTGAAGTATTTCTTGAAGCATATGTATTCTTTGAAGACTAATGCTTTCACATAGGTTTGTGTTACATTTATTTATTTATTTTTTCAATGGAATCCAGGTCTTTGTAATATTTTTTTCTGTGATTTTTCTACATTATGACTATTTTTTTGTTAACGGTTTCATTCTACTTATTTGTTATACCATAATACCTTATGTTTTATTCTGTTAACAGGAGTTGAAACAACGTCCCACGAGTTTTGTGGATCCACTGAACATTTACTCCTCATTGTTTCCAATGAACACAAATCTCAATAACCATCACAGTAATATTGGTAATGTCAATGTCTCCACATCATGTTCATCATCACTGTCCAACTCGTCTATATCTATAGAAATATGTGAACTAATTGAAGCTTTGCTAAACACACTGTTAGGTTCACAATCAGAATTAAAGCATAAATTAAATGATTTATTGAAAACATTTCAGCAGTTACAATTGGATCATAAAGAGTTTACTTGCTTAAAATTTATTGTTTTATTCAATCCATCAAAACATGGTGAGTATTTCCGCTTTCTTCTTATCCTCCTGCCATTTTAGTTTGTATTTCACACTTTTTATATAACTCATTCGTCAGTGTAAAATTCAATCTGGCAATGGTAATAATAATAATTTTAAGTCTAATGCCCCATGTGTGTGTGTTCCCATGGTTTCAAATAATGATGCACGCGTTAGGCGTGACTGATTTTCATATCGATCACTTTCTGTCGTCACCATTTGCACGCCTGTCTACAAAATGCAGACAGTCTCTTAGCAATCTCTGAGACATTTTGATTGAGAAACGATGTGTCTTTGTCACACTAACCATCACCATTTTAACACATTAATGGCAATAAAGTTATTTGGTTGTCTGTTAATATTTCTAAAACATAATTCTTTCTAAAATAAATATAGCTGTTGAATGAGTTTGAAAAGATTTGCGGCATTGAACGCCGTAGTGCTGAAGCCGTTTCCAAATTACTTCTCGGTCAACGCTGTCGATAAAGTTAAGGTAGAGGTTTGACTGCCATTCTATGCTTTGTTCGATGACGATGCGTAGAGTTGCAATTTGATCAGTTCGTGATATGCCTTTCCTGAATCCAGCTTATTCCGGTGGAGCAGAGTTCTGCATCTAATGCATCTTTTATTCTCTCCAGGATAAAACGACTTAGTATTTTACTTGGCGTCGAAAAGAGCATGATTCCACGCCAGTTCTTGAAGAGGCGTAAGTTGCGCTTCTTTGGCAGCTTGACAAGGTAGTCCTTCTTCCAATCGGTAGGCGCCTTTCCTGCTTTCCAAATTTTTCGCAATAATGGCGTGAGCATATCTGCCGCAGTCTCTGGGTCCGTTTTCAGTGGTCCAGTGGGAATTCCATCTGGCCGTGCTGTCTTCCCAGACTTCAGTAGCTTGATCGCACTGAGGATTTCTGCTTTCGTTGAAGGATTGGTGTCCACTGGCAGGCAGTTCTGTGCTTACTGTTGATGGTGGTGTACTTCTAGGCGAGTTGCAGGTGATGGTCAATTCAAGAGTCCTTTGAAGTGATCAGCCCATTGCTTTATTTGTTTCTCCTCCTTCAGAATCAGGTTCCCTTGAACACCTTTTATAGGTTTCACCTGCCTTGATTTCTTCCCGGAAAAGACCTGGTTATCTGGTATAATGTCCTTAGGTCTATCTTACCTGCGGCCTGTTCTGCTTCAGTTGCCGGCCAGTGTGTTGTAGAATTGTCTTTTGTCTCCTAGCACTCTTCCCCACTTCTTTATTCATTGCAGTGTACATTGCACTCAGCTTTTCCTTCTACTGCCCATCTTTGCATTGAGTCATCTCCTCTTTCACCATCCTCCTCTCTTTAATTAGTTTCCAGGTAGGTGTCCGTTGAGAGCCATTCCTTGTCTTGTCTCTTCTTTCTTCCCAGAACAGTTGTACACGTTTCCTTGAATATCGCCTTCAGAGAGTTCCAATGTTCTTCCACACAGGTTTCTTCAGTGATGCCACGTAGTGTGTCTGACTTTGCTCTGATACCTGTAGCGAAGGCATCCGTCGTAGTTTTGCCCCTCAGTTTCTGAGTGTTGAACTTGAATCGTGCTCTGTCTCCATTTGCTTTCATGGATTTCAGCTTCACCTTAAAAGTTCGTTGAACTAGATGATGGTATGAGCCCAAATCTGCTCCCCTTCTCGAATTTGTGTCCAGCAGGTTGTGCCTCTACTTCCTTGAGCGACACTGAGATGAAATCTTTCTGGTTTGTGAAGAATAAGAAGTTCAGCAAAGATATCTTCGGCGATTTCATTTCAAAGCTGTACATCGCATTAAAATACATAATTACATAACATTCTATACATAATTATACGCAATGAGTATATTACTAGATATGTACGAGATTAGAAACAGAATTACGCAGGATTAGAACGGATATCAAGTGTGTAAAAATGAGTATGGAAACAAAATTGAAATAATAATTTTCAACTTGAGATGGGAATCAGGAGGTGTGAATATAGATTACAAGAGACTTAGAAACAAAATTACATGGGATTTAGCAAATTACAGGTGTGCAGAAAATGAGCATGGAAACAAAATTGATATAATAGTTTTAACTTAAAATGGAAGTTAGGAGGTGTGAATATAGATTACAAGAGCCTTAGAAACACAAAAAATTGCACAGGATTAAGATATAATTGTAAATTTTTTTTAAACGGATTATAAATGTGAACAGGAAAAGCATAGTTTGTGATGTGTCTGTCAGGCGAAGTCCATGTTGCCTCGTGTATATCCTTATGCTTGTACACCCTGTCTCCAATCACCAGATCATTGAAGGTGCAAAGGTCTGCGAAAAGTTCTCCGTTCTCATTCATGTCCTCATTCCATATGATCAGGAAGTTAAACAGCACTATGATGAAATCCTACTCTTGACTTTGTTTTACTTGCATCGGTTCATAATGACGACATCTTTTGATTGTGATTTGAATGTAGTTCCTTTATTGATTTAGTATTATTAGTTCATTCCTTTGCCTTCCCAGTGAAATATGGAGCTTCTAGCTTGAGCTTTGAAGTTTCAGTAGCAGTGGTGTTTATTTTGTATGGAGTGGGACTGCTTGTTCCATGTCCAACCTTCCCTTTTCACTAAGCTTATTACTGGCTAAGGGGGGGGGGCGTAGGAGTGCATCGGCCGGGAATCAAACCCCTGACCATGTTCGCAGGTGGTGAGTATCCTACCATTGAACCACTGACACACAATCCTGAAATCTTCTTATGTCATATTAAATTACATTTCTATCTGTGCATCATATATATATATATATATATATATATATATATAAATTAGAATGTATATCTGAATTATTGACATATCATACTTAGTTACTTATATAAGCGTGTTTATATTCACAATTAAGATATTGGAAATAAACGATAGAGAGAGAGAAAAACAGAACAGAAAGGAATAAAACCTTTGAACATTTGTTGTTTTTGTTGTTATATTCAATAATCTACATGTTTATTATATATACAACAAGCATTTGAATACATTTTTAACACTCTAGTCTATTTGTATTTGTATTTAATTACAAATGAACACACACACACTCATAGAATACACAATAAATGTAACCTTGTTTAACCCTTAGTTGTTATAATGTTGCTACATTTCTCACTTTATTTTTTTGCAGTGTGTGTGTGTGTGTTGAAATGGCTCAATGACCTGAATGAAGTAGTGTTGTTTTGTATATTTGGTGTTTTTTTTTCTGTGGGTTTTTTGGTAGGTTTTCACATACACAATTCTTTTTTATTGAACCAGAGTATGTTTTCTGCTTTATAATGGAGAAATTATTAGTTACTAAGTTTGTTTTTGGCAATGTAAAAAGAAAATAAGAGAAAAAACTGTACGTCTTCACTGTATCACACTGGTTAATAAGCGAAAAATTCACTCAACTCTATCCATATATACACACGGCGATTGAGCAAAAATTATGATGAAGCTAGGTGAAGGAGAATTAGGAGGGAAAGTCTATTGATGAGATGGTTACAACATGTATTGTACTTATACAGTCACTACTTTTTTCCACAACGGGCAATGTTAACTGATATTGGAGAATTAAGTTGGAAAAAGAGTTATGCGTGTGGTTAGAGAACAAAACTGATTAGGAAGGTGCTGATTATCTGGCCAGAGTTGGTGGTCAAGATGCTGAAGATCGATGTGCAGCGACTTTTGGCGACAATGTTCAAAGTCATTGTTGACGTCTCGCATCCAGTCCTTCCTTTGCGATGCTACAAATTATTATTATGCTTCATGTTATTGAATCTTTCTGTTGTAGATTTTGGTTTCACTGAATTACTTTATTTTCATTTGTGCGCTAATACAAAATGTGACAACTTGAACTGTGGCGCATTATTGTGCAAAGTTCTGCGTTGGAAATTCAATTCACTTCAGTTCGAACTTTTAATCATAACAATAACAGTATTTGTAATAAAAAGCTGTTCAAGATTATCGTAATTGTGCATGTAGTGTATACGGTGGAATGAACAGTTGAGTGGTATTGTCAATGTACTTCGTCTAGTATTCATTTATTCTTACTTACTTGTGTTTAACAGCATATGATTTGAATATCATCGGCATAATATACACTGTTGGATTTTTATCGTAAAGTAAATATACATCAATTCATTTATAATCCCCATTCAGGCATTAATGAAAACAAAACACGTAGATCAGCGAAGAGTCTCTTTTCGGCGAATTCATTTTCTTAGCTGTACAATCGCAAATATATATGTGTTATTTGTATGTATGTGTACATAAGTTTTCAAACAAAATACAATTGGTTATAGTTATTTTAACTAAACAGGTGAAGATTGGTAATTGGAGTTACGTAATACGAAATCAGTCAAGAAAATTAAGTGTTATTGAAATTAGGGTAGTAACAAAGGTGATGAGTTGTCACAAACAGTTGTTAAAAGATGTTATGTAATAATATGAATAGTTTGATGAGTGAGTTTTACTCAGGATGCACATAGGAACAAAGTAGATAATACGAAATTACTTAAGATATCTAAGTGAATACAAGAGTAATAAGCAATTAAAGGACAGGCAAAGAAACAAATCAAACCAAAATGGATGCCCAATAAGATTCATCGACAAAAACATCAAACCAAGAATTCGGAGAAACGAAACTTTAATTGCGCCTAAAAAGAAACTCTGCATGAACTTGGATTTCAAGGGAGATTTAGCAAGCGATATTCTCAAGAGAAGGATCGCATCATCTCTGAGAAGAACATTCTTTGCAGCAACGCTAAGAATAGTGTTCTCCAGTCGCCCACTGATCTGCAGAAGCCTCAAGGACAAGATCCCGCATCTGACCACCTCTATGTGCATATATCAGTTCACCTGCTGCTGTGGAGCCAGGTACATCGGTCGTTCGACGCGCACCCTGTCCAAGAGGATTCAAGAACACTATCCAGCATGGTTGCGAAAAGGCAATAGTGGTGCAATAAGGAGTGCGATAATTGAGCATCTGGTTAACAATGATCATTCC